TGACCTGGATGGGCATATTAATAATCTCATAGTATTCGAAGACATGATGCTGGACAAACGATCAAATCCTGCAAGAATATTACCCAGAGGCAGACATTAAGATACTGACGTGATTTACGTTGCCCAGCGGTATTTACAAACACCAAAAGTTATCACAGATAACTGCAATAATTTAGTTGTGCTTGATGGAGTAGATAATTATACTTTACAAACTATTTGTTATACTTGGTGTTCAGGGGATATACATGATCCCAGTTCGAGGATAAGTATTATTTGACCTTATTTTTGAGATTTCGTAGAAAACGTTAGTGTCTGTAAATAAGATCTCGAGCGGAAAGTTGTTGACCATCTCTACTGCTTCCTTTGGATATTTATGTTAACACCATTCCTTTAACAGGGAAGACATAAAATATGTATTCTGTGCTTCTTTAAATTTCGCCTAACCTCTGGGATGTAGATTAAAACTCGCTTCGAACAGCCTTGTCTCTCCACATATATAATTCTTTTCTGAATGCTCGTGTCGGTAATATTGATGATTGTCCATGATGATTTTTCATAGATGAGCATGTCTTTTCGGAACAGTATCTACAATACTAGAGTAGATGATTCCACGTGTTTCCTCATCTTGTGAACAGGTTAAGCGAATGAAGTGAACTGCGCTTATTTATAGTGGAAGTGCGGATCGAAACTGATTGGATTATTTCACCAATCCCAAGCATTTCTCCTTCAACAGAAACATCAAGAAGAAGAAGCTACAAGGGAAGAAAACGACATAAAGAATAAGAATCAGCAGAGACGAAGCATGGTCTGAGGGAGAAGGAAGACAGATAAAGTCAAAGGGTGATAGTACTCTTTGACATTTTGGCAGTGTTGAAAAGCCCGAGAAAAGGTGCGAGTCTTCTTTATTAAGACTCATGTTAAAAAGATCTACCTGAAGCAAATAGCCAAACTGGTAATATGCCTGTGATACCAGCCCTTGTGCTTTCTACCAAATCAGCGATTGTAGCAAGTCAAGAAGTAGACTTTGGTCATGGCAAAGGCTTAAGGCTTTTCCCGTCCCTGTGTTCCTTGTAAGGTCCTTCCATCTATCTCAACAAGAGTTAGCCTTGATCTTGCCGAACTCAATTAAAATTTAAAATCTTGTTTTTTTCCATGATGAACGTATGTGAATATGTGAAAGCAGTTTAATATTTAAAATATCAAAACCAAGAGACTCTTAGGTTTTCGTTCTGGTCTATTCTGGTACAATGTTATAACTCAATTCACAGCGTACCAATTAAAACGTCCAAGGGCTTTTGTGTCTTTTTAGTCATTATTTCCTCGTTTTAACGTCATTCACTGTCACATACTTTTCCTCCTCTTTTTCCTCACTTATATTAGTCTTCCTTTATTATCCTTTGTTTCTTTTGGTACGTGGGGAGCTCTGTCTTTTGAGTGGTTACATCTTATATTTCCTGTTCGGATACACTTTCCTCCTCCAGCTTCTGTTCTTTCCATCGTATTTGTGGAAGGCATTACTAACGGAGACGACGGGATAGTGTCTGATCAAGCCAAACCCATCTGGTCATTTTCATCGACATGTATTATAGGACGATGAACTTTAAACTTAGTTTACGGACGAAGGGCATCATCTACTTAGCAACAAAATCAACAACAACAACACCATATTCTGTAATAATCTCAGTCATTTTGGGTCTGTCTCACACAGTGTCAACATGACATCCCTTCAGTCTCATCGTCACTTCTAACTGATTGGTGCCTTGAATGGCATTAGGCGCGAAAAATTCCACAAATAGGTGCTCCTATCTTGGAAGTCAAATAAGTCTTCTGATGGTTCACACTGCATGGGTTCATTAACATGCCACATCAAACCAAAGTGTTTTTGAGGAAAACAAAGTTGAATTGATGCAACTGTTCGATCCTCGCGTCGACACCAAACCAAAAAGAAAATCATTTTAAAAACTTGAGCCAGCGGTTAACTATGTGTCATCATTTGTTATTTTTTAAAATTGGATCTCAATGCTCCCAAAATCCTTCGCAAGATAAAAGCCAATCCCCCTCCCCAAGGTACACAGAAGAAAAATATAGGTTTCAAAACAAGGTCACAGCCTCAGTAAAGGAAACGTCTCCAAGAAAAGCAAAAGAGAATTCCAAGAGAAAACATGCATGTAGTAATGACTCAGCCTCACATTCACCAACTACTACCTGCTGCATCGTTGGATACATCTCTAGTATCATCAGGTCCTTCCAGGTCTAAATTGCTGGTGATGCCAGCCAATCCCAAATTGATAAACATTGTTCCTAATTTGATGAAATAATGGAAACCTGCGTCCAAAAGATCTTCTCCAACACCGTTGAACGAAATTCTGTATGCCGAATTGGATAATACGATATAAATCAATAGTTTAAGAAAAATCGTGATATGATAGAAGGATTACAAGACGTTCATCGTACCTTGCATGGAGAATAATCAATGAAAATGGAATGGGAGGATAACGTGGAAACAGAACCTAAAGACAAAGATGGAAAAAAAAACGTGTTATCATGTTCCACTGGCCAGCGCAATAACAATATTTAGTCTCCTGTTTAGCTAAACACCTGACAGAAGACGGTGATCTGCTGCTGGAAACAAAATGAGCAAGATTATCAAAAATCTTGATCTCCAAACGGAGAAGGCAATGATACTACCTCACTTCATGCTTAGACCATTCTGTGAGGTCATGCCCGGGGAAAGGATGGCTCTACAATCAGTACGATGTCAGCTACAACCACAAACACACAACAGCAATAACAACCACTACCACTAATACAAAGGACAATGATCTCCCAGACGGATTATTGGGAAGGAGTCCTCAGCATCCACGAGTGTGGTATAGGATAAGTCAGAGAGAGCGTCTTCACTATTTCTGAAACGGAGGAATAGGAGAGAGAAACCACTCAAGCCCTTCTGTACTCCCAACCACAAACATCAATTGGGAGCAGGGCTGGAACCGTCATTGTATCTTTAGTGCCCAACAAGAAAGTTACCACCATGAAAAAGGTACAAATGGAAAAAGAACCTTTCTCAGGAGTAGTGTGAATATAAATATTAATTCCTTTACTTTGCAGGTGTGTTTGCGTGTGTTTGCCTGCGTTTACGTACGTTTGTGTGTTGATAGTATACATTACCTTTGTTATTTACTTCTGTGAGAATAGTGCTGATAATGGGGTGTGTTGTCCCTTCCTTGCTGTGTGGATATTAGTTATTTGAGTTAATTCCTTCCCTTCTAAGCAGATATAATATAATATGATATTTGATTCTAAGGGATGTTTTCTTTCAAGTACGTTCTTGAAGTTAATAAATCATAACGTTCTTAATTCTCGCCATTCAACCCTGCATATTCCAAAATGGTTTTCAACAAAATACAGACAATGAAGACACTACAAGAGGTTGTACCTAACATGGGGTTGTTGGAGAAACTTTTAGTGAGGATTCAGTATGACGAATATAGTCCACAGAGACTAAAGATGGAAATGAACAAATCAAAGAAGACGAAGGAGAGGAGGAGATAATTGATGAAGGAAATAAAGGAAGATAAGGAGGAGGAAGACGATATAATAAAAATGATTGATTTTAATAAAAATAATAGAAAACGAAGTGGTGAAGAAAGAGAGAAGGAGAAGGAGATGGAGGAAGAAGATTTAAAGGAAAAGAAAAAGAAGACGAGAAATGTATGAGAGAAAAATGAAGTTGGTGGAAGAAAAAGCTTAGAAGGCAAAGACAAAACCCAAAGTCCCTTTTTCAGGGCCAATTCATAGCTTCGAAAGATAGTCATTCTCTCTTGCATATATTTTTAGAATATTGCTTTTAAGCGAAATAATATACTGATTTGTCACGATGTCTGATACGTAAGCAGCCTTCTTTATATTGAAGAGAAATAATATAGTCGACACCGGAATTGCTTAGAAAATGAAACTTTTCAGCTCTCAGTTATGGAAAGTGTATAATTACAGCGCTGAAAGGAGCATAATAAGTTCATGTTAATTCAAATTGTATCACATATGCCAAATATAGGTTGCATTATTATAAATGAGATGACCGTTAAATGACTGCTGAAATGTGCCCACATGCTTAGATCAATTAATCCTGGTTTAAAAGTTTATGTATAACGAACAAATTTAAAAGGACAAATGGGTGACAATTAGATATATAAATGTTTAACTATTAGCTTAAATCGCTTATTCATACAGATCATATAATATGTACGAATGCTTTCAAGCATGATCGATGCTATTCCCGTTTAACCGAACATATTTATTTTAAAGTCCTAGAAAAGGCGGTTTAACACATATGAGCCATAAAAGTCAAAGTAGTGGTAATATCATAAAGAATGTTCCTAGTTGTAGCGGCAGTAGTATGAGCAAAGTGGCGCTTGAAATTACAGCAGGAACAGCAACAACTGTTAAAAAAGTAGTAAAATAGTACAATTATTGATAATTGTTTTAGCAGTTTACAGTAAAAGCTGTTAAACGAGTTGTGGTAGGAGCTGAGTTAATAGTATCTGTTGCATTTGTAAGATTATTAGTAGCATCATGAATTTTAGCAGCAATAGAATCAGTAAGAATTGAGGTGGCATTGGCAATAATATAGCGGCAGTGGGAGTAATAATAGTTTGATCATTAGTAATAGTAGTATCAATATAGGCAGTTGAGTGGCAGTGGTAGTAGCAATGGCAGAGTAGTAGCAGTGGTAGAAGGTGTGGTGTTATTATTAGTAATGTGTGTGTTATTTAGTTTTTAACATAGATTTAACACTATTTCAGTCATATCGCTACGATGTGTGCAGTGTGAAAAGTTTACAGTGAAGTCTAGCACTGGGGCATCATGTTGCAGACATGTGGCATGATATCCCACCCAATCACATTATCCTGACACCAGGCCAACAAGTTTTAAGACTAACCTCTTAATGTTGAGCGCCAAGAAAGGTAGTCGTTAATACAATTTTGTAAAATGTTTGGTATAACTCGGTCAAGGTTCCAACCAGCAATCTCCTGCATTTGAGGCGGACGCCCTAACCGCTAGGCCACCAGAGCAATGCCAGTATTAGTAGTAATAGCAGTGGTAGCAGTATGTATGTATGTATGTATGTATGTATGTATGTATGTATGTATGTATGTATGTATGTATGTATGTATGTCTGTCTGTCTGTCTGTCTGTCTGTCTGTCTGTCTGTATGTATGTATGTATGTATGTATGTATGTATGTATGTATGTATGTATGTATGTATGTATGTATGTATATATATATATATATATATATATATATATATATATATATATATATATATATATATATAATATCAAAGAACATTTTTGGTAAGAAGTACTATCTCAAAAACAGATCAGTGGCTGGGAATGATTTTCGGTTGCTTTGAACGATGATTGCCATATACCAAAAGGTCTTTCAAAGGCCATGAACGTAGTAAAATGCCAAGAGCGCAGTGACAGATTAATGGAACGTCGGGGTTATGCCTGATCAGACTGATGCCACACAAACCTGAAGTTGGTCAAAGTTACTAATATGCCGAAGATTAAAGTGAGATGGGAAGCAGTTTCGGAAGAGAACGTAACGAAATCTTAAGGTCGCAACAACGAAATATAGAGAGGATTGCATATTATCTAGCTTGCGCTTTTAGGGTAGTTGTAACATAAAAACAGAGATAAATGTTACAAATGAACACTGAACAATCAGTTATAGACCGTACTTTAAGCTATATAATATTTATTGTTTACTGCATGTAATATTTATAGGCTACTGCATGTGTATGGGAAAATATAAACGAGTTTTTCGGATGGCTATACATTACGTCCTTGTGAGTGCAGCATAGCCATCAGACAAAAGGAGTTCATATTTGTCTATATAAGTTCGGTAACGTTTTTATTAAATGCTCATTTTTTTTATTCTACCTACGGTTTTAAACAAAATTAAAAATGCATACAAGTAACAATGTAACTTAATTTATGTTATATTCCAAACTAAATACACAAGCGTAGATTATACAATATTATCAATGGGCAGGTAACTTCTGCCTAGATAAATTTGATCTTGGTAACTTACTAGACTTAAGATTCAAAAGAACATGGCGTTTGGTCTACTTAAAATTGAAAGTTTGAATTATTTTGTGAATAAATATGCATTGCAACAACTTTTTCGTTTGATCATGAATTATTACGATTTGGTAATTTTGTCGATTCGAACCAGTTACGTGATTACGATCTGGATTTATCTGTGTGACATGGTTCATATAAGTTTGAAATGCAGAACTCAGAAAGCACATTTTGGGGATATTCAGGATGTAACATAGCATATTTTTGCCGTTTTTATTACCAGATAAAAAGAATAGTTAATGTTTTATAACTTCCACTTTGTTTGTAGGAGCCATATCTGGCGTCTATTTATAGCATAAATCTGAAACATTGTATCAAAAGTATTAACGGGAATGTGCAAAAGCTGCTGATATGCGCCAAGCCATGAAACATCCGCTTTAGTTAATCCAGAAACAAAATTAATCAACGAAAATTTAGAGCGATAATTACACGAATGTATGTTATTTGTTTACAAAGTAGTTTATCATATACTGTTGAGCACACGTGTATTGTACGTGAGTGCAATATGAAGGTGTAATATCGTAAAAGATTGCGTGATTATGACAATCTAAAGTTAACGGAGAAATAATATCAGCATATACAAATATTTGTTTTGATGGGTATTCTATTGTAATATATATATATATATATATATATATATATATATATATATATATATATATATATATATTTACGTGTGTACAATCAATATTACTATGTATGCTACACACAAATAGTTTGATATATATGTGCGTCTGTATGTGTTGGTGTGTTCGTGTGTGCATGTGTATGTATGTATATATCCCTCAAATAGGGGAGTCGATTGGGCTAGATGTCTAAAGCACTCTCCATTACGGATCACTGACATGTCATATCTGTCTGCCTTGGTTTGATGCAAGATTGGGCGAACGTGGATACTTTAAAAAGTTTTCCAGTAGCTTATCTTTGGTCGATGGTTCTTAATGTAGATTTCCAGGTTTCTTCCTCCACCACTATCTGGCATCTATAGCCTTTAGAATGCTGAATGACGGCGTTAAGCCCCTCAATAACTACCCCTCAAATAACAGTGGTTGGAAAGTAAATCCCAGACATACAATAGACTGAGAGTATGGTACGGTTATTGGGTCAATGATTTCCTTAAACTGCGAGGTCGTTCGAAGGCCACGTTCGTAGTAATGGGCTAAACCATGTTTGTAAGTTATTCAATGTTATATATAACTAAGTCGTACAAATTGTTTGAATAGGTTTAATTCTTCTCGTGTGATGGACTTCATGACGTATTTACCGGAAGCAATATGGCTGTTACTAGCCATATTTAAGCCCTTGTCTTGGTAAGAAGCCGGATATTGCTAATTGAAGAAATGCCACTAACGCCAAGGTAAACAATCCTCATACTGGAAAGTTCCTCCTTAGTTTGAACTGTTTTAAGCATAGTGGTTACAAAATAATTCACAACAGTGGAAGTCAAATCGTCTTAATAGGTAAGTTTCTTAGGTGCACAATTAACCAATTTAGCACGCAATGTGAAATTCGGAGCTTTGAATTAAATGCTATTTGATATAAATTTAAGTTTAATTAAATTGTATGTTTTTATTCATTTTTTAAACGAAGATAGCAATCACTATTTAATTTGCATTGGTAAAAATTCGAAATATACAAGATGACAATTGAAGAAGAAAACCCATCAATCTAAACAGTATAGGTAAAATAACAGTTGAGTATCGATAAACAAGGTTGCCTAACTGGTATTTTGACGGTTACAAACTGCGTGATTTTCTAATACACTTAGATTCAATTCATGTTTTCAAAATATGTATAACATTTAAATTTAAGCTTATATTGTCATTTGATGCACACAATATCATACATTTAGTGAATGTTTAGTGCTTAAAAGTTGATATATGTTCTTGTTCCATTTAGATCTATACATTAGAACTGATTTCCTCTAAAATAGAAAAATGTAGGTTATGTGTGCATCTTTATGTTTGTGTCCATCTTCGGACATATATGAGATCCTGCATAGAAAAGCAGCTTTATCGGGACCCTAGAAACTTAATGTCAGTGCAATAGTTCATTTCGAAGCATTGTTTACTCCACTGCATTGTTACTGCTATTCTACCAAACGCTTAATAATCTATTGTACTTCAACTTGAATGCTTATGTATGTATTGCATCTCAGTCGACTGACACAATTAATCGAATTGCTTGAAAAGATCACAGCTGATTCAAGTAAAAAATATATTCTAAGTGATTCCTCCGTCGGTCCTACCCCTCCTCGAATTCGTCAAAATATTGCAATAGCGGCATCTGTAGGCATTTTAATCGCGTTTCGCGTTAGCATAACAAACAGAAGTACCATACTTTGCCTGATATCATAATTTTACTCCGATTTAGAGCAGTTACTACTCGAACTAATCCAACGCCCAAGTCAAATATATAGAGCTTTTAAAGTGGACATCGTAATTTATCGTTTCTTAAATTGCAAACAAGACAAGTCGCTAACGATGTTCAATGGTGCATGTTTGACAAGGTTGAGCTACATATTCAATGTAATCACGAAGTATCGCACTTATTGAAATTGATGCTGCTACAAATACAATAAGATACATTGCACTTGTCAAGAAATCACGTGTGAAAGCTGAACCTGCATATGAATGTCACCTGTGTACAAAACATTTATTCTCTTCCCATGGTTATATTCCATTAAATGGTTTGGTGATAGTTCTTATTTTAATCACTAAAAATAGTTGTTCGTATGGATGAGTGTGCTTGTGCGTGTGTTTGTGTGTGTGTGTGAGAGAGAGAGAGAGAGAGAGAGAGAGAGAGAGAGAGAGAGAGAGAGAGAGAGAGAGAGAGAGAGAGAGAGAGAGAGAGAGAGAGGGGGAGGGAGAGGCGGGAGGTGTTGGTGCGCGTGAGAGAAATGGAGAGAGAAACACTGGTCCTTAACATCTGTAAACCCTAATAAGCAGCTGAAGATTGTGGGTGTCTCTGATAAGTTCACTGGTTCATAACAAGTTGGAACATTTCCAACAACAGTCAATGTATGGCATTACCTTAGTCGATGTTACACAAATCTAAGCCCTGCCTATGAACAGTTTTTATTCTTCTTGTTTGATCGACATCATGATCACGTTCTCACTAGAATCACATTGCTAGTCTTGCCGATATAATTCCTTAGTTATTGTTGTTGTAATCTTCGGATTACTAATTGGAAACGTGCTGTTATCGCCAGGATAAACTGTCATTGTAAAGGAAAATTCATCCTTACATTTGGAACCATTTCAAACAGGAACTTCAAATCCCGATGTAGGTAAGTTTCTATGGTGAAATAATAAAATGGAGCAAATGAAGAATTACAAGGCTTTTAATCATGGACAATTTGCTAATATAAATTTAATTTGAAATAATGCGTTTGATCACTATTTATGTTGTTTAGTTCACACTTTGAAATGCTATAGATGGAAATAGAACAAGAGAACTACCTCTATCTCTTTCTCTCCTTCTCTCTCTATTTAAACATATGGTAAGTATAATAGCAGTCTCATATCTACGAACCTGGTTGCTAAGAATGTGAATTTAATATTTGCTAGCTATTTGATTTTCGAATAGATTTACATTTATTATAAGCCATGAACATTAATTAGAAATTGCAAAATTAACACAATATTTCATAGGTTCTCAAAATAAAATAAAAATGTTAAATTGTTTAATTGAAGAAATAATATACTGGAAAATAAACTAAATTAACATTTATGCGTTAGATTATATTGACACTTGTTTCACTTAGTATGTGCAAAGAAAAATGAAAAATCTATCCAAACACCTTTGAGCACCTTTGGTCAAAATTGGTTGCCTTCATCGATCACTGACATTTCACGTCATGCTGCGTGGCCAGTGATTCTTTCGTAACAAGTTATTTTTTGAACCATATACTGTATCATGTACTG